CATTTGGCTACAGCTGCTGCTGCTGGAGTGACACGACATTGTGGTAGCCACTTATTGCATAAAATAAACCGTTTTAATTACTTTGGGAACACTTTAATTTACCCCAAAAAGGCATAATATGAAAAGTGTGGGAGAGCCATGCTTCGGCACGAATAGGCCGGCTCGACCGGAGTGATACCATCAACGAGCAGAAAATCAACGTGAAGCAACGCTTGCGCTGTGTTTCGTCGTGTGAGTGAGGTTACCGGAGGCCCAATTACCCCCCTTCCTAGTCTCCCGAATTCTCCACAATCCTCAAATTCCAAATTCTCAAACGGCCGGTAATGCACTTGTAACTCCTTTGTGTTTCGGGCGTCTATGGGTGGGGCCGATTGCTTACCATCAGGTGATCCGTCTGCTCGTTTACCGGGTTATGCTGTAAAAAAATCAATTTGGCGATATGTTACGCCTTATTTACATACCTACCGATTTACATGTACCTGTATGATAAGAGGCTGATAGCTACAATATCCGACAGCACGCACTGCGGACCTGACATTAAACTAATTACAGCGAACATGAACACTGAAGTGCTGGTCTTTGAAACTCGATAACATTGGCACAGCGACACCAGCTACAGCTGCCCATGTGTGTGTGCGTCCATGGCAGGCAGGACATGCGACATACATAGATTAGTATAAAATAAATATTTATGCTGAGGAGGACGATGTCGAGTTGGCGGTAGACAGCGCAGTATATCGCAATGACAGCGCCCAGTCTACAGCCACTACAGTGCTGCGATTTGTGTCACTATACAGCGGACGATAAGAAAAACTCATCTGTTTCCTGTCTGTTTGTTTGTGTGGCGCTCTCGTTATTCCTTTATTTACTTAGGACGACGTCGAGACGCCGAGCGACGAGGACGTCGGGCCGGGCAGGGTGGTAATGAACCTTTTCGTTGCAAACAAATATTGAATAACGTTAATTAGCCGAGCTAATCGCAGCCGCGCACGCCGCCGCGGCCGCCCGCACGCCGCCGCGGCCGCCCGCAGCGCCACCGCGCGCCGCGTGTTTATTTAGAACACATTACGAGTGCGCTTCACTCCGCGGCCGCGGCCGGGGCCGGCGGTTGTATCGCGGAATATAACTCTCAGTACTGCTACTAAACACATTTTGTTACTTATCTGTTTGTTTTCATCGTAAACATTTGATAAGATTATGTTACCTACTAGTATGAATGTAAAGATGTAACTTCAGGAAACATGTTTTTATAACAACTATCGTAAGAAATACTAAATTAACTCAAAATCGCGGGTTACTCACATGAACTGTAGGCTGCGCGACATTGCCGCGACCGCGCACGCTGCTCATGAGGAAGAACCCCTCTGTGGTTCGAATCTAGTAGAGCTTTTCTCAAAATATCCACGTGAATAACCCGCGATTTTTAGTTAATTCAGGAAACATGCTTCAAATGCTGAGCTTGAAAGTATAAAAATGGTACATTCTTATTTTCATAGATTACTAGCTATCATCAGTCGCTTGTTAAATTCATAAATGGCTCGCCCCAGCAGTTGTAGCAGCAGAAGTATATAAGACGAGTAGCAACAGGGCCGGTGGACCGGAGCAACCGGCCAACTTGTGGGACATGTAATCATTAAATACACTAAACAATCGCGCCTACATAATTATCCGGCAGGTCTCGCAGCCTCTTTGTGTCGTCGTAATGGGCGCTGCAGGCCTCGCCTCGACCGCCCGCCGCCGCCAGACACTCAGGAAGAACCTCGTTAATCCGCTCCTCGGGCCAACCCGCGCCAAATTTCCTTTAATGAATGAAATCATTAACTTCGCTCTCTTTTATTTATTATAAAAAATTACTGCTGCCCCAGACTGCAGCTGAGCTCGCTGGCAATATGTGAGGTACAGCGCCGAGCGGTGACCAGAGAGCGAGTTCCTTGCATGGGAAACTTTATCACAATCTACTATAAGAAAAGTAGTGTGCAGTTCTCAAAGAAGACAAATGTTTGGTAATGAAGTGCAGTCTGGCATCGCGCTAACGTGCCACGCGGGGAAGAGTGCGACAGATTATATCAGATCAAATTATACTTCATTTTGTCTATGTGTATACATTCGTACAATAGTTATAGGCAACCAATAAGCAGGACACGCGGGCCTGCCTCTAGCGCCTGCCGCCGCTCCTACCCTCAATAATTAATGTTTGTGTGTCTGTTTGTCTCATCCGCTAATCTAAAACATGGATCACAGTAAAACTTTCTATGTTTTTAGATGAGAGTGGAAAGTTTATCATTTTTAAATCTTGTAGGCTTCTTCTGCTAGGCTTCTGATATAGGTTACTAAATTCCTTATACGCAATCCATCCTTATTCCTAACATCATTGCACAGTCCTATTACAAAGCGTAAACTTCTCACTTTCGCGTTAAATAATGCCCTTCCAATACAAATGACAAAATGGTTGGTGACAGTTTTTCGTGAATACTGTATCGTATATTAGACTAAGAGGTTACAGACGCGGTGTGAGCGCGACTAATTGTAAAGACGTTCTGGCGATCACTATGTGCTCTATCGCTGTCGCACGCTCGCGACCTCACTCGGCGTGGGCCGCGGCGCGGCGGTGACGCGGCGGTGACGCGGGCGCGACACGCGACACGAGCAGAATGTAGCGCACGTCACAAAACTATTTGCTTCCGCACAGTGCTCATTATAGCAAGAAAACGTCGCCTTTTGTGCTTGTATTTATTTCTGTTCCTCAACAATAGCGCATTGTGACGCTGCGGACGCAATCAGCCGAGCTCCGTCCTGCCATGCCCCCCCCCCCCTCCTACTACCATCGCCAGCATTTGACTAAGTTTTGTCATCTTCATAATTGAAATAAAAACACAGTTAAAAACGTTTCACACAAACACATACAAGTCATTGCCTCACTAGTTCACTCGGCAAACTGCAAAATTTTTCTTCACCGTGTGTCACTCAGGTAAACACGAGGAGGAAAATGTCTTCGGATTTATACAATTCAAATTATAAGTTTGAAATGGCTAATTCACCTTGAACAAGCAAGGCGCAGTTCCTTCTACATGTGAGACTTGAAATCCTGAACAAAATTATTTATTCAGGTACCTATTACTTGCAATGGTAGATATAGATCTATGGTAGATGACAAATTTTTATTTTAATGTCCGTCTGGTACATTACATATTTAAAAACATTACACATGTATTTTTTATTTACTTACGGAAACGAATAGATAGAGATGTATTGAGTTGAAATATATCTCTATGACGTCACTTTTGAGTACGATTTATACACTAAAATGGCGACGTCATTTAGCACGTAGCACTTCTAAACTTTGATTCGTTTTATCTAAATATTGTTTTGTTATACGACAAAATAAAAAAATACGTTTCTAATATTTTTTCATTACCTAACTGACGGACTAATTGAATATTTAATTTTCATGTCATCATCCCAATAAACATTATATTGCGTGATTCGTAGCTTATGTACTATTACTACTACTTCTCTAGGTCATTCCTAAAACCAGATTGTAATTTGTGCCACGAATGACTTGGATACATTACGCCCTACTCTAACGGTATGTTTTGCCCTTTATATAGAACCAGGAGCCCGAGAGCGAGCAGTAGCAGGTCTCGGCCAGGTCTGTGCCATTGCGCATGTATGTATTGATGTAAGTACTGGTTCACGGAATACTACTGGGTGGATTTATTTGAGTTGAAACTGCGTGTAGAATCTACTCTACGTGTACTATACATATTTCGAGAAGAAGAAAGGGTTGGCATGATGTACTTCTTGCAACAATCAATCCGACAGATGATATTATATTAGTAGGGAATTTATAGACAACGCCTATTTCCCCACATCTACACGGTAATGGGATTTGCTTGTTTCTATCAGGCCGACCTAATAGCATTAAATAGCCTCAAAGAATACGTCAGGGACCTACAATTATATGCTGAAAAAGTGAAGCTAGCAGTTGGCCAGTCGTTATCCGGGCTTCTCGCAGACGCAGAGTACCGTCGTCGATGACTGATGCTGACGTGTGTTCAGGTTCATTTATGAGCAGAACGTGTCTAACAAGCTTCTGTCTTCTTTTCTTTTCTTTACTTTCTTTTTAACATCAGTCAAGTTAAGTCACAAATCAGGAAGAAAGGATGCGCCGACCTGCAATTTCATCACCAAGTTCCAGGCAAGATACGTAATATAATAGATCCGTTCTAACTCAAGAGAGAATTTACGCAACAAGTTGGCGTACTCAACAATTTGTTGTTGTTCAAGCATTTTTTATTGTAACACCGAGTCAATGACCGTTTGGATTGTTACCTAGATTATGTTTCTGTTGATCTATAAAATCCTTTGCTATAAAATATGTAGTATCTGTATGTTTATGTATGTTTTGTATTTAAGTGAATATAATAACTTGTTTAATAAATGTACCTCTACTTGGACGATACAATGTAATATTTAGGTATCCTCGTGTTCATGTGTATGTACATATGTATGTAGGTATGTTTTTAAATAATCAAACTTTACTTCTGATTGATTACTTATGTTAAGGAGTATGTTCATATAAATAACTTGTCCTAGAATTAGTAATATTGTTAGTGCTCCTCTCGCCTGTGATACAGGATATTCTTCCTAGTACAGGCATTCAAACCTAGTGAGAACTCTGATTTTAAATTAAGATGTTAATGTAACTATGACCAATTTATTACAACGAATAAAGATTTTTTATATAAGATTTTTCTGTCAACACCTAATCTTTAAGGAGGTCGTCAACAGCTCATCCACTCGAGATGATGATAAGTTTATTAACCGATTCGATTTATTTAATTAAAACGTAACGTCTCCATTCTCAATTTATCTAGAATATCATCATCAAATCCAGTGACGTCACAATTATTATAATAATCACGTAAAAAATATAGGTACAGCAAGACTGGGAACATCCTCCTTCTTAGAATTGTGATGAAAATAATAAAACTGTTTTGAAACTATTTTATTGTCCCACATATAAACACATAACATAATAAAATAATCCCTTGTACTCACAATCCTTGTCAGATCCGGATAACGTGTGTCGAGTCGCGGTAAGTTGGATGTGGTAGCAACAAGAAGTTCCACGGCTGTACAGGGGAAAGTTGCGCCGATAATCCTAATGACGGCGCACTTACTTCCTTTCCCAACAATAACTTGGATTTTTCGACCCACGGCAATGAATGATGGACCGTGGGCGTTACCGCCGGCCGTGAATCACAGAGATAGTCAGACAGTGTGTATACTCTGTGCCGGGGGGACATGGGAAGACATTTCAGGCACCATGGCAGCTGCTCCACTACTAGGGATGGTAGAGGCGCTAGTAACAGAGAATGATCGAACGATTCAGATAAAGACGAATCAGAAAATTTTTGTTTATAAACTGATGGAAATTGTAACTGCAGGCACCGCTTACAATTTCCACTGGCAACCGGAGGCAGGTTTGATAACTTCCAGGGTTCGATGTACAGTCTTGGCGAAAAATATGATCCTCGTGTATCAACATCAACAATTGAATAGTCTGTTGAGTAATCTGGCAGCCAAGGAACACCGTCATCTGTAAGACATTGTGATGATAGTCCTGACAAGCACGCATCAACATCTTCAACGAAATGAGTAGATCCACAACATGAACATCTTCCGCATACATTTTGTTCTTGCAGTAATATCAGTGGTTGCGGACGCACCTGTCGCTGTGTCATATATTCCCTTTCTTTCAATAGATCTGGACATTGTTTATGTATTGATGGTATATTCTCCAGGTGGTTACATGATACGTGTTTTATTGGCATTAGCGAGGGATGCTCATGTGTTAAAGTGGGATAATCTTTGATCCAATGAGGTGACTGTGTCCACCTCGGCCGCCTAAAGAAACGATAATGCATGAAAGGTGCAGTTTTAGTGAACCTGGTACTCGGGCCAAGTTCAGAGCCATGTAAAGAGAGAACTTCATCATAAGATGGTCCAGGGTAACTAATATAACCTCTTGGATGCATGTTACGATATCCTGACATATATTTTCGTGTGTCCCAATGAGAATTTGGTCGTCGTATTGCCCACGGTGAAGGTAAAGGTCTTATTGGTTGTGGCAGCCACGCTGGTGTTTGATGGACATTCCATGGACCTAGTGGCAATCTAGGTAAGTGTAGAGATATTTCGCGCCAAGGAGGCGATCTTTTTTTAGGCCAAGCTAAAAATCCATTCATAAATGAAGGGTGACTTGTTTTATGTAACAAAGATGATTTTAGAATTGACAACGGAGCAGTGTTGGCCTGCCCCAGTGATGGTGGTCCGTGGGGTCTCCGGACATCCTCGAACCTTGGTAACTGGCTCACTGCAATTTGAGGTAATTTTAATGGACCATTTGAAGAAAATCGAGACTCAAAATGCAGAACTGATAATGGTTCTTTGGATGAGGAAATCATTGATGTGTACTCTCTTCTAAGTGGCAGTGGTGTCGAGACAGACTGCAGCGGTAAAGTCGTTTTTTCAGAACTGAGTCTAGCCTCTTCAGATGACAATGGCTGTTCTGGCTGCACGTCCTCGCCTGTTGCTACTTTAGAGCCAGCGGCACAGAAGACCGTTGTGTATACGGAGGCTGCACCACTCAAGTGTCCCTCGCGCACCACCACGCCTTGCATCTCCCGCACGTACACCCTTGGCGCCTGCTCAGTGTCGCAAGCGGACACTTTTATGCCGACCATTTCCGCATCTACACAAACCTGTCGAACAAATCGATAGTTGTTGCAGTTTCGAGATTAAATAAATAAACAAGTAAATACGAATTCACTTCCGAAATCTTGTGGTAAAGTGTCAAAAGTAATGTAGGTTAGGTACCTACATCACTATTACCTATTTATTGTACCTCTATTATAATTTACAAATTGACATTATTACATTACATTACATAATTATATGGAGTTAACTTCTTAAATACTTTGAAACATATACAGTTACTTTACCAATGAAGTCCTAGAATATTTCACAATGTGGGTATAGGTTAAGGGCTCTACTTACGTTAGTGCCGTTGATCTCCAGGAAGAGCTCGCCGGGCGCCATGCGCAGCTCCTTCAGGTTATACTCATTCTCAGATGTCTCTCCTATTCCAAGTTAATAAGAATCTTTATAAGGGGCTAGCTATTGTACATTGTACCAACAAAAATACAGATTCTAAACGAAATTAAATGAATACAATACTCTGATCTGGTTACCTTTACAAATGTATACCTAGGTACGTATCCTGCTTTATTTGGTTTATGATTAGGTACATGTACACAACCCTCACCGAACTGCTTGGTGTCGCAGTGTTCCTGCGAGTGCGCGGCCTCGAAGAGCGCGACGCCTGCGCAGGCCAGCAGCAGTAGCGTGCACGCGGGCGGCTCCATGCTAGTGTCCGTCGCATTGCGCATGCGCTATTTAGCCCCTGGTACTAATTGCCTCCGACATGTCACCACGAACGATAATTAATTTACTCAATCATGTTTTGAAAATGAATTCGTAGTCGAGTCGTTGTGTGGTAATAACCACCTGTACAGATTACGCGTGACAAATTGACTAACATTACCGAGAACATCGTTTACGATGTTTCCCAAATATTCCGCCAAGCGTTATAAAGTGTTTAGAGCGTGGCGCCACACTACCACACCGCAGCGGTGACACAACCGTACTACTGTGCACTTTGAAGCAACGTCTTCTATTATTTGAAGGTTGTACTGTAGCCATCTAGAAAGACACGCCTGAAGGGTTATTTATTATTAGGAAATATGTATTTAATTTCAAATACCTACTTATATTACACTTCGAAGGGGGTAAGTAACTCCTATATCATTAACCTTATGAGTATTTTTCCCTCTGTAGTGCAGAACTAAATAACGAACATGGGTAAAAATTACAGATTTTTGATAGGACCAATTCACTAAAATTCTCTATTACTATAATCTCCGCGCTTGGCTGGATTACATTTACCAATTACCATTGAATGTCTTCGCGATTGAATCCATCATCAACAGCCTGTTGTCGTCCACTGCTGGACATCGGCCTTCGGCTCTACGCATCCAACCTCTCCACCTAGCTGACGGGCGCTCTACACTACATTTGCCTGGAGGCGGTCGCCATTCCAGAACACGTTTACCCCAACGGTCACCGGTTCTCCGATAAATATGACCGGCCCACTGCTAATCCTTTATACAACGTCGGTAACATTGGGTCTCTTTCAGATCACCGTTTACCGCTGTTGTCCGGTTTCTATTAAATGTCTATAAATCCTTTATAGTCAGCTATTAAATTACCAGCCGGAAGAATAAGGGTGGTGATGACAATATCATCATCTCTGTCGACATCTACGGCTCGGCTGAAATACAGATTTTTCTTTCTTTCTTTCCCTCAATGGTATTAATATGTAAACGGAACTCATTATGTTCAATCTCGTAATGATTTAAACATCATTTTACCAAAAGCATCTCGTAGTCACAAAATTAAATGCTTTTCAATGTCGGTTACAACACTACATAAGTATTTTGCTAAAACTGCAATATTGCATGCAACAGAGAATAGCACTGAACTTCAATATGAACATTTATTAAAAGTACTTAATAGTGACTAAAAAACATGGTAGGTTTGTGGCGCATCCAATACAATAACCGCGGTCCAAATAGTTTAGTGGAGCCAAGCACTGAGTACGGAGGCCGCGGCGCGCCGGCGCCGTACAGTGGCCGCGGCGCGAGCCAGTGCAGCGCACGCGGCGCGCCGTAGTGCTGCGAGTGGGCCCCGTGTCGATGCCGCCGTTTGTGGTGGGGTGGACGGTCTATTGCAAATCGAGGTTCCATATACGATGGATATTCGGAACTTTGGAATGACAGTTCTTGGTCTGGTTTGTCTTTATGAGACGAAGACATCGACTCTGCACCGGCAGACTTCAGTATTCCATCGTTTTCTTTAACATCATGATTCATTGGTGCTATTTTAATCGTAACTTTAAGTGTACGTGGTTTTTTAACCTTAGGTCGGATCTTTCTTTTTCGCGTAGTTGTGATAAGTTCCGTTGTAGAAGTTGTTTCTAACTGTGGTGTGGTCACCTCCGGTAATAGTGCTGGCACCGCTGTGGTTGACGTAGTGGTTGTTGTAGTAGTCGTCGGTGGCATCGACTCATTCGATGTTAGGTCGTAATCCATGAAATAATTGGGCGGTGTCTCATTGGAAATCTCCTCGTTCGAAATCAGTTCATCGGAAAACATTTCATAAGTAGACCTAGCGTCAGTTGTGGACGGAGGAGCAGGCGGTGTGGTCGGTGCGGGGGCAGCGGATGTAATGGTGGGCGCAGGGCTCGTACTCGGTACGGGTGGGATGCAGTGGACGGTAACGTTAACAGCTGCAAAGTCGGCGAGCTGGCCTGTGCGGTGCACCCGCGCCGTTAGAGCATCGCTCATAGTGACTTCGGGCGCCGCGTCAGCATCGCATACAGTCATGTCGACGCCAGTCACCTCGGCCTGCTCGCATGCCGGCGGCATCTGTACGCCAAGAAGTAGGTTATACTACGCAACCGTACTCTATTATTTACAATAGTAGCACTCGACTCACGGGCACTACGATATTCCAGTCGGCCACTCCAGGCTTGAGTTGCGTCTCGATCAGCCGCTGGGCGGTCCCCGTCGGCGTACCTGCATCACAGAAATGCACATACAAGAGAATTGATATACAATAACAGTTATAATAATAATTAATGTTAGTGATTAGTGATCTAAACTAGCATCTGTACCTACTATCTACATCTATACTTTTTTTAAGGGGGGAAAATCATCGAATGACTGCTCCCGCCTGAGTGAGGCGGGAGGGAGTGTCAAATTCTTACTGACTAAAAACTACCCCGTTCCTTCTCCTGCACTTCGATCAAGAGTCTCGGTAACCCGTTAGGTTCTCCGCGAATTAGTAGCAAGTTTATTAAGTGTTGTTTCGTCGTGTGACCTTTCCTTAATCTCCCCAACCCACTTGCAACGCCTCTGGTGTTTCAGGAGTCCATGAGCGTCGCCGATTGCTTACCATCGCGTGCCCGTTCACTGAATACATCCTATAATAAAATAAAAACTGCGTTTAAAAAACCGACTTAAAAAAACCACAAACAAACAAAAAGTCAAAACTAAAAAGCAACAAATAACTAGATATTAATAATACTGATAGGTTACCCACCACACAGGTCCAAGGTTAGAAATCGGCGCCATAAGTTCTATACAAAATTATTCATTAAAACCTTAATAGATTACCTTGCTCAGCGGTTTATATTAACTACCTCGTGTTTGGGCTAGATTAATTCTTATTGATGAGAACTTTACACCATAGATATAGTGGGACTGTCATTAAGGGTCTGATGATGAAGAAGTGTAATTGTTAAGGGAACTCCTCAACGGTTTACATTAACTACCTTGTGTTAGGGCTTGTATTGGCTTGTATATGTAGCTTTACACTGAAAATGTAAAAAGAATAAAATAAAAACTGCGTTTAAAAAACAGACTTCAAAAAACCAAAAACCGACTACGACGGTATGGCACCGACTTCTAACCTCAGTGACCCACTGTAGTCACTTAGTATTGATAGGCTACCCACCCGCGTAGCCTATCAATACTAATGATAGTTATTTTTTCTTTTTAGTTTTGACTTTTTGTTTGTTTTTAGTTTTTGGTTTTTTGAAGTCGGTTTTTTAATTTAAACTGTCAAACACCAAGCGGTCACCGGTGACCGCAACCTATTGTTCTATAATTGTGTCTACAAAACCGGTACTCGACGAGTTAATTGTCATATTTAAAAAAAAAATATTTTCGGTACGTAAGTACTCTTCGATGGCGTTCTATACACAAATAGAAGTGTCTGCCACACTTTATCTATCAAATGAGGAAAGGTGTTGTTGCTTGCTGATTGCTTACAATCAGCAACTTGCATTGACACCTGCAACACCACCTGACCGGGGGCCAAACCAAAGCAAGTCTATTTTACACCAATCGACGTCAGTTCCTACTGACGCCTGCGTTTCGTAATGTATGGGCAACTTCTACTTCATACGAGCCGTAAGCATAACTGTTAAGTATAGAAAGCTAATCTTTTCACGGTTCTGAAGCATGAACATAAGTAGTCTTTTAACGAACACATTATTGTTTTTGAGGTGTCCTTTTGTGAATTACACTACTCAAGGACACAAGTAAAACTTCTTACGAGTGGTCGTGGCCCTTCAGGATTCAACCTAGATCTCTTCGACTCACGAGGCTGCTCATGGCCAAGCCTTCTGTACTAAGCGTGCTAGCGGTTAAGCCTCATCGACAAAAAAATATTGGTTAAAATAACGCAACACAACTATCTAACTTATTGATATCATTAAAATATGATTACAAATGTACCGAAACTGGCTGAACCACAATTAGTTGGAAGTGTATCTCGAAGGTTGTGTGCAGTGGAGAGCGCGGCAGAGACAGCGGCGGCAGTCGCCAGCAGCAGCAGGCGCGCGCGGCGGTGCATGGTGCGCGCGGGCCGGGGCCGAGTGGCGCATGCGCGCCGCGCCCCGCTGATTGCTTGCTGTACTAACAACATCACTCTCCATTGTATCCAGCGCGCGAGACGAATGCAACATTCTACTTTGTTACTAATGAGGGGCGCAACACGAATGATACAGTTACCATTTCAAATGGAAAATGTTTAATGCATGAAATAAAACCAAGTCGTTGTTGGTCACGCTAGATATTTGTTATGTCTCTAACACACAGGTTGCACAATGAATATGTTTTTATTAAATTGTTATCCGTTTCAAATAACAGAGAGCGCAATAACTAAATACGTAATATTATAATGTTTGTCTGTTTATACATAGACAACTTGATCGAATTGGTTGGATGTAAACCAATTCAGATATTATGATATTTGTCAATATTATATGAATAAATAATTAAAGTTCGGTGTTCGGTAAAATGTTATATGGTCACCTTAACCATAGTTATATTAACAGCAGTTACTATAGTCTGAGTTGTAATAAAATAATTGAAAAAATAACTCAGACAGAATTAAATGAAAAGTTTATGATAGTGTTATCAATAGGTAACAGCTTAGGTGTAAAAAGGAGGGACATAGTGAATGGTGTGAACACCTTATTAAAATTAAAAGTGGGAAAAGTAATGCTTTGTGCATTCCCATATTCCAACTGTTGGTTACAGTTAAAAAATAAACACATTGGTGTACTAAATAGTTCATTACACCAACTGACATGTTGTCATAGCGACAAGTTTTTATTTTTCGACACTAATAAGTTTATTAGTGATTTTAAATTGACAGAAAAGTGATTTTAATTGACAAACTATTGCTATGCTGATAGTATTTAATAATAACACTGTTCTATATAATATAACAGTAA